CATCGTTTGTGCTAGAAAGAAATGCACTCTATATCAATTGGTTATTGGTTTTGAAAAAAATGTATAATAGTTTTTCTTCAATGAATTTATTGTGTGTTACCTTTATAACAGTAAATAACATTACGTTCTTCATGTGTCGCAGTGAAATATACTGATTTAGAAATTAAACCGTGGTCAATCTTAAAACAGGTAACTTTAAAATGAATAAAATGGCCGAAGTATTGGTGTCCACCTTGATATTTAAAATATAGTTTAATTATGATGACCGATTTTACAGTTGTTATTGGGTCTGATTATTTTTTACAACCGAAAGATTTTTGAATATTGTCTCATTTCTTTTCTTACCTTTGAAGTTAACTGTGTCCTCTTCGAATTTCGTATTTAAAATACATGTTACGAAATAAAAATATGTTCGTTCTTGATAATGAACTCTAACCGGGATCAATATGTATTCGCTCTTTTATACATATTCTGTTCCTATAAGTCTTTTTTTAAATTATAAGTTTCATATGACTTTAAGAAAGAGATCATTGCATGTTATTATTCTGAAAATTCTGGTGTCATTTCCTGCCAAATTATCATAAATGTATCTTGGTTTGCTGAGTCGTTATCTTGAACATGCAGTGGAGTGCGTGGTTTTGCACCATGGCCTTGAGATGAAAATCAGCAACAAAAGGCTTTTTGTTAGCATTTTTTTCTTCATGTGCGCGTAATGGTATTGTGTCATGAATTTATATATCAAGTACATTCTTTCTTTTCCATCAAATGTCCTTGGACACTGGTATAAGGTTACAACTTAAAACAGTTTAGTCAAAAATATTTTTCTTATGCATGTATGATTGAACCTTTACTGTTTATTGCTTTTTGCATTATCATGAAATGCACTCTATTACATAAGCGTCACGCCACTTAAAAAATCGTATGTTTTATTATGAAAAAGCTGGTTTGGTGTGCCATTTTGTTTATGTGAAGATTCTAGGGTCCAGTTATTGTATTATTTGTATTTGTTGGGTACATACAAAATGTGACGTCCATTTTCACTGAACTAGTACACAATTTTATTTAGGGACCAGCTGAGGACCACCTCCGGGTGCGGGATTTTCTCGCTGCGTTGAAGACCCTTCGGCTGTTGTCTGCTCTTTGGTCGGGTTGTTGTGTCTTTGACATATTCCCCATTTCCATTCTCAATTTTATTTGATTGTAATAATTTCGTTTTATTTGCCTATGATAAATTTTCGAGTGGTTTATGTAATTTTATTGATGTAAATTTGGAGTATGTTCACAAAGGGTTAAAATTGGCTCTAATATTTTGATGTTTCTTTTAAGGCCAGAATAATACAAATTTTACATAAAATAGTTGTGATAATACTATTAATACAAAATAGCTTCTTTTCTCTTAAAAGTACGCGTTATTTGTGTTGTAACGTAAGTTTTTGTCAAATTTTCAATAGTTATCATCAGGATTTGACGTAATTTGCTTTGTCTGCCACCTCTGATCCAGAAGGTTTTTATGTCTATGGATTCAATGTCATCATCGACAACTTTTAGTTATAGGACAGTTAAGATCCAAGGTTGCGGCCAAGGGTTTTTTCAAGCTTTTATGTTCCATAAATGCTCAAAATCAACGTATTTTGACAATATACATTCAAAATGTGCTGACTTTGACTTTGAAGTCTAGAATGTTCTGTTATGTAGAGATTTTTTTAACCTAATAGTAAGACTTTTGAAAATGACCCGTATAAGGACCAAATTATGGCTATTTTGACATTTTACAACAAAGTTGAAATTGAAGGCCATATTTAGCCTGAAGTGAACCTGGTTCTTTGTCGGTTAAAAACACACATCACATTCCGGTCGTCGTTTTCACTTTCTATATCATATCATTAACATCTTTTTGCATATTATCACATATTTTTCAAAATAAAAATATACCAATCTTTATGCAAATTCACATCTTTAAAAGCGTACTTTTTTATTCTAGCAAAATGAAATTTATAGCGAAATCTTATTCTAAATCAAAAGGTGGTCTAGCGCAGGAAATATAAAGTCAAGCGCTTGAAGATGTATATATATGGTCTAGCGTCGAAGATATAAAGTCTAACGCTGAAGATGTAAAGTCTTACGCTGAAGATATTAGGTCTAGCACAAAAGATGTTAACTGAATATGATAATTCCGTCCTGAAGATGACAAGTCCAGCGCTGTATATATATATGTCTATCTCTAGATTCGCCTTACGTGACAAGGTAACACTACGACTATTGAAGTTATATTTTATATAGCGGATGTGGTCGTGTGGTCTAGAGCGCTGGACATGAGGCTAAGCGATTGGTGCTGTAGTGTATCAAAGGTGTGAGTTCGAATCCCGTTGAGGGACAAAAATTTGTCAGCATAAAAGTCTAATTCTAACACTGTTGGGTGTAATTTTCAGACTTATATAAATATTTGTATTAACCCTGTGTCTCAAACACACTGAGATCCAGTGGGCATATATATTGTATGGTTGGCACTTGCTTAGACTTGTTTGTATGATATACTTATTTCTAGTGACTGTATGATGAATTGAATCATTATCCCATACGGTATATAAAAATTGTTGAGTTAGATTGCTGACAAATAACAAATACATTGTGTATTAAATAATAATATAACATCTTCACACGCTTAAAACACATGTCTTATGTCTATCTCTAGATTCGCCTTACGTGACAAGGTAACACTACGACTATTGAAGTTATATTTTATATAGCGGATGTGGTCGTGTGGTCTAGAGCGCTGGACATGAGGCTAAGCGATTGGTGCTGTAGTGTATCAAAGGTGTGAGTTCGAATCCCGTTGAGGGACAAAAATTTGTCAGCATAAAAGTCTAATTCTAACACTGTTGGGTGTAATTTTCAGACTTATATATATATATATATATATACATATATGTATAAAATATAGCATTGACGAAGAAAAATCCAGCGCTGTAGATCTAAACTCTAGCACCAAAGATGTAAACTCAAGTGCTGGAATTAATTTCGTAACCGCTCAGCACTATGATCTTACATCTTCAGCGCTAGACTTTATATCTTCAGCGCTCCCACTTTCATTTCCCGCGCGAGACTTTAATACCCACAACTCGTAATTTGTAGGTTTTCCTAAATAAAATACAAATCATTTTTTTTCAACGGATGTGATTTTATGTAGAAGTTAACAAAAATGTTCAAAGTACAGTTTAGTTTCAAAATTGTTTACATCGCCAATGTGAGTGCTCATATACATGCATCATTTTTACAGAAATAACTAGATAAGTATTTGATCTACATTCATTTTCGATATACCTTATATAAATCTTATCACCATTTTTGATTCAGCCATGCGGGGATCTATGCGATCACTCTGGTTTTGGAGATGGTGCAGAATACTAAGTTGAAGACATATCATGAAACTAATTATGTGTTTTTATGACTTGCAGAAACTTTCTACACCACTTTAATCATCAACTGCAAACTTTTGACATGTTATTTGCCCTTAAATTAAGAAAAGATTGGTCGAAAAGTGACTTTATTTTAGATATACACTTGCACATAGTTACTTTCTAAATCAAAATTTATGATGATTTACTATTTATAAATTAATTTGAAAAAGTATTTGTACATCAATTGAATCAGTTGATAAGAATTTTGAAAGTAATATATTAGTATCTTGTGCTTGTGTAAATTATTGTTCAATGAAATGTAGGTCAACATGTTTATTAATATATCTAAGTTGATTCTCACACTTTTTTGAAATGGTATTATTCCAATTCTTTCCAAGGCAAGTAAGAGTCAGAATGATTATTAACTGTCATGATTTTCAAATAAGTATTAATTAGAAACAACCCCAGGCTTAATTCAAAACAGTTAATATCTCATGATCTGTTACATAATTAAATAGACACAATTTATTACACACCTAACTGAGTACACACATTCTTGACCTCAATAGTAAACCTACAAATGTATTATTTATTTTGATCTACACTACATTAAAATATTCTGTTAATTTTTGCTAGCTAGCTGAATGATTAATCTGATGTGTTTTTTTTAAAAGAAAATACTTAAAATGAAAAAATATGTATAAAAAATGCAAGCTTCTTCTTCTCTGGATCTTTACACCCTTTATAGGGTAACCATACTTTCGTATGTCGAACAGTTCCACCACCAAGCAAATTTTATTTTACTTGTAAAATCAGTGCCATTATCATCTGACATAAGTCAATAATCAAGTTCTAGGTAATTAATTAGTTACAATTATTAGAAATTTGATTGAAATATTAAACAAAATTGCATAACTCTTACCTGAGCATTTTCTGCAATAAAATTTATTTGTTTGTTTAACATTTATATCCCATTATATTGCTATTTAACAGAAATTGGAAATATCTCAGCATTAGGTATTTATACATTCAGATTTGAATACAGGAAATGTATTTTTTTCTCAATGAAGAATGAACACCAATTTAGATAAAGAATAGTTATTATTTTTTTAAATTTTTGTTGTTGAGAAAGTGCATTTAAAAGGCCTCTTTCTGGAAATTATTAAACCTGTCATTATTAATGGCATATAAAAAAATATATTACTTGTTTGACGATTTTCCTCTCCATTCTTGTCAAAAATAAAATCTGACAGAGTCTAAAATTGAAAGATCAGTATATGTATCTATATTTGCATCAATATTGCGAAATTCCCTACCTTTGGACAATAACAGACATTTTACAGTAAGATTGGGAATGAAAAGAGAAAAAAATTTAGAAAAAAGTATGGTCAGAGAGAATATGAGACTAGCTATGAATATGGCTGGATCACAACATCAACGATGCTTTGATTTACAGCTGCTGATTTCTGGAATACTGAAATGAATCGATCGTTTCACCTCACTGGCGTTCTTTTGACAGAAAACAACATTCACACGATGCATGAAAAAAAGTGTAAAAAATTGCATTCACTTAAAAATAATTAAAAGATATAAGTTTTGAGATAAAGATATGAAATTTAATGTTCACAAATAAATAATAAAACAGTCAATGTACATAGTCAATTAATAAAAAAAAATCATTATTTTTAATAAGATCGCATCGCATAAACACTATTTAGATTAAATTTGCTTCTACATAACTCCTCCCTAAATAAAAGGTAAATATTATAAATAGTGTATACATAAACAACGTTTTATAAATACATTGCATTATTTTATCAAGTATTTCAACAACGAACAGAAATCTTTGAAGTGTATTATTTAGACTCTTCAACACTCAAATGTTCCAAAGTTTCACAATTTGATTCTGTTACTGAAAAAAATATGACCGTGACCATATAGCTTTTGCACACTTAGTCACAAATAACAAGAAAGGTCATACCATTGAACATGACGTATTTCGTCGACATGAAATCCGACAATTTGTAAAATAAGTAAGATAAGAGTCAAATTTATTTAAAGAAAAATTCAATCTTTTTTTTTAAATCAAGATGAAAATAATCACTATCACAGCTTAGATAGACATTTCATTTAAAGAATATAAAATGGATTTCATACTCAGAATAAAAAAAGATATTTTCATATCGATTCACGTTTTTGGAACTGTACTGTATGCTGGCGGAGGAGTATTGTATGTGTAGCCAGCAAACACAGGCGCCGGTGGAGTATGACCATTTCAGGTTTGTTGTGTAGGATGACTTCCTGTTGGTTGAGTGGGATAGCTTCCTGTTAGTGGTGGTGCATAGTTTCCTGCTGGTTGTGATGCATTAGGTGACTGAAATTGTCCCATCCTTACTAAAATGCAAAAAAATAAGCAAATGTACACCATTTAAGATTCACAAAAAGGATAGAGAGACAGTTATCGACGTTGATACTGAATGACAAAAAAACAAGTCAAAGTAAATTGTAGCTACAACGTGATTTAATGTCCATGGTTAATTAAAACTATATTGATATTTTTAACATTTTAAACAATGTCTACAATCAGATTGAAGTAATGAATTTTATATAAAATTAAAATTCCAATACCGACTATCATTTATAGATATAATCTTACCTCCAGTACCTGGGTTAATGACTTGTCCAGGCGATCTTCGTCCTCTACAAGTGATACATAATATTACTCCAATAACTACACTTATCACCAAAATACCACCAATAACGCTACCTATTATTATTCCGATGGTTGTATAGTCTGAAAACAAATTATTTGAGTTGTTACCAGATAAGTTTTACATTATTTCATGCCTACTAAATAACTGAAGATTGAACAATCAGATAATTCAATTGTGTTTATATAATTTTAAAAATAACAGAGTTGAAGCTGGGTCAAATCTTCGGGTTTGACCATAAATTAAAAGCAAAATTAAAAATCAATTTCTGTTTTTGTTGAATCACTAAAATTTTGTCGGAGATCGATTTTTCAAATCTCCTGATCATATAAGACATGGGTATAACATCTTTCTGAAATCTTTAACCATTTTATATTAAATTGGATTTACAAATAGTGAATTCCCATACAGTTTGAGGCAAAATCGCCAGAATCCAACCTCTCCAAAATTAACAATGCCAGGATGTTCTTAAATATGTATAATTTAATGTGAGTTTGACTGTCCCTCTGGTATCTTTCGTTCCCCTTTTAATCTGATAATCTAGATGGATTTGGGTATTTTGTTAGGTCACGTATTCAAGTACATATAAAATCTTGTGTTTCCAATTTTAGAAATAAATAAGCATATATGATGTGCACTGATGGTTAAACTATATTTTCACTCCTTAATTATTGCAGTGGCGGATCCAGGGGGGGGGGGTGTCCGGGGGTTAGACCCCCCTTTTTTTGACGATCATTGCATTTGAATGGGGACATATAGTTGGAACCCCCCACCCCTTTATCCTGGGTTAGGAACCCCCTTTTAAAAATGGCTGGATCCGCCCCTGTATTGCGTCATAAAAGTAGAAGATGAAAAATCCAAAACAAACTGCTCTACCAAAAAGATAGCTAAGAATAATATAAACAGACTGGATGAGTGTTATAATGAAATAACGTCAGCGAAGGACGACATTTAGAATAACTATAAATTGCATTATAACGTAATGAAGGAAATTGCGTAGTTCAAGTTTGCAATTGTATAACTTACAATTATATGTCATTACAGCTTCAATTTTCAGTTTCACTTGAACATTCCCAAGATTACTAGGACTTTTGGGGGTTAGATAGATATACATATATGCGTCCTGTTCTCCACAATATTTCGTTGTCGGTTTGTCATAACATGTATATTTCTAAAAAAAACAACATCACATGAAAATATGAATAGAAAATAAAACAAAATCAATACGATGAAATCTTTGTAAACAAAGTAAGCATATGCATACATAATGATGCTAAATTGAACCAATCAAGTGTTTGTGCATTGCAACAAGAAAATCGGAAATATGAGTCTGAATTAAGCCCAATAATGTTAAATCTGCATATTTGTGAAAGGAAATTTGTGTTTTCCCTCCGTGGGCTTTGAACTTTGTGACATTGTGATAACTCCGCCTGATCTGTGTCCGTGTTCAAGCCAACTTTGCTTTAGAAAAAAACAATAAGGCTTTCGTCAGCAGAGTAAATCTTTTGCTCGTCGGTTTCATTTACGGTTGTAACACAGAACCTGATGTATTGTTACATGTAGATTGAACACCTTACCGATCAGCTGTTTTTTGTCTGTCATAAAGGTTGATATAATATCCCACCTTAGCAGAAATATGCCAACTTCACCTGCATATTGGATATACATTTCACAACTCGTTCGGTATTCAAGAGCTTGTAGCTGCTATTCACACTTTACAAAACGTCATCAGTGTCTGAACACAAAGTTGATGAACCAGGGTTATGTCAAAGAACGTCTCGTCCTTTTTCTAAAAAAGTTCATCGGAAGACACCAAGACCTTGTTGATAAATATTCCCTATCAACTTCACAAATAATACATGATTGTCTTGAAGTATAGATTCTAGTACTGACATTGTTTATCATCTTAATTATGTGTTATAGTGTTCTTTTATTTGTCTTTGCATATTATTGACCTTTACTATTGAGTCCATTCTTTTGGTAATATCCTTTTGGCGTGGCTCGGTATTCATACATCCCGCCATTGTGTTATTTTGCTATAGTCATTGTTTGTATCATTGTCTTTCATTTTTGCTTATATGCTTTGTCTATATGCCATTTTGTTTTCTTTGTTGTCATAGTTGTTTATTTTTATAGTGATTCAGATTTTTGACATTTTTACCTATTATGTCTGTTTGTTATTTTTTGTATTGAATTTTATGCGACTGTCATACAAGTGAGAGGTTTAGCTAGCTATAAAACAAGGTTTAATCCACCATTTTCTACACAAGGAAATGCCTATACCAAGTCAGGAGTATGACAGTTAATTTTCATTCGTTTGATGTGTTTGAGCATTTGATTTTGCCATTTGATAAGGGACTTTCCACTTTGAATTTTTCTTGGTGTTCGTTTTTTTTTTTATTTTACTTTTTTTACCATACAGCAAAACAAATCTGCAAATTGGTGGTTGCAAATATTTGTCCTTCCCATAGCAGGATATTAACTCATGTTATCGTGGCATCTTTTGTATGTTATTTTATGTTTCTAAATATAAGTCAACTTTACAACACACGATCTAGGATTATTCAGGGCTATCACCACAAATAACATATGAGCTGCTTCGGATAGAAGTCGTCCTTATGCAAGTGCACCTATACATGTACATATATAAGACTTTGATTGATTTTGGAACATTCAATAAAAAAATAAAAAAAAGAATTTTGGTCTGTTTTGTATGAGCTCTTATAACAACTCAATCTTCAAACAGTAACAGACTTTGCATAGATATTTTATCAAACCGAAAGCTTCAAACTGTAGACTAACAGATGTACTGATATTCATTTGCATAAGGTCGATTTCTATCCGAAGCAGCCCATATATTGATATGACTGTATTTTAAGTTTTATAATCCTTTACGACGGATAAAAACAAATCATCTGCATGGTTTTCTCTCTACATGCCACAACCCATCATGTGTTTATGCAACCTAAGGTAAAACCGACGGAAACATTCATTAATCGACTCACGTCGAAATGTGGATTTTAATATAGCCTAGTGGGCCTAGTAAAGAACTTGACATAGAGGTATTGGTTTAAATTCCGCTGAGTATAACAATCATTTGCAATCCCATATTTGCATATTCAACATTATTGGGCTACATTTGAGATTTGAAATGAAGTTTAATTATTGATATTTCGGTATTTTGATAAAAATGATGCTTGGCTTGTCATTTTAAGTTATGCTTGAAGTCTCGGAAAGTAACGTGACCAGACAACGGTATATATATGAACGAGACTGTAGAATAGGAACAGCATGACAGTTTAGAATTTATTTCTTTGAGACTTTTTCCTGAAACTGAATTGTTGAGTATGAATATGTATGAATATGAAATCATGCAGGGGTAGTTTTGATCTTATTTAACAAATACCTTCAATGGTGTACCATCATACTGATCCCTGTAAGTTAACTCTACTGCACAATCAGGGTCCTCATAAAACTCCGGTGTTATACAGATCTCATATTCATTCAGATAGCCAGCATCTCTCCCGATAAACGACATGTCATCACAATATTTTAGAGCGTCTATTCCATTGTATACAACTGTTATTGATTTGTCTTCATCTACATGCTCAATGGATACAGAACAGTCTTTTCCAAACGTATCTGAATGATGCAGTTTCAATTATAATATGTACAAGCTGTATTTTCTTTTAAACATGAATTAACAGTAGCAGTATTAAGCAGTTGTTAACTTGAATTTATCATTGCAGATAACCAATCCGAAAGAAAAATGAAAATATAAATATAGCCAGTCACTTTATTTGTTTCGCATTTTCATCTTCGTATCAATTTAGGGTTTTTTTTTATATCACGAATACAAAAAAAAAAATATCAGCGAATTTTCCCAAATTACCATTTATAGCTGAAACAAACTGTGTAAAATAAGAACTATAACAAATTATGAATGCAATCAAAGCACACAATCTTACATGTTTTTTCACTCTTTCCAAACACCGCTGTAAGAAATTGAAGAAGAGACACAGTTGTGATAAGCAGTTTCATCTTGTCACCTGAAATAACAAACCGATATTCCTGAAATACAGTTATCAAATATCCTTCATTGAAAACATTCATTTCTTTCCAACAAGGATCACTCACAATAAGATTTGTATGGGAAGTTGCAGCTGTAATTGATTAAAAAAAATATAAGTATGTGAAAATAAAACGTTGTTAATTTCGTACGTCCGAAACGTTTTTTGTTTGTAATTAAACCCTCAAACCAAAACATTTGAAAGCTAGGAATGTGTGAACATGGTGAATACGTATAATCGTTAGGAGCTATATAACTAAAAGGGTATTATTGCATATGAGACAACCATCCATTTATGAATAATTACAGGTCACCTGAAATCTTACATAAAACATGTTCCCAAATACTTTTAAAAATATTAATCAACACACCTTCAACAGACGTAGCGAAAAGATGTCATAAGAAGTTTGAATAAAGAATGTCCAAAGTAAAAGTATCGACAGAGCTTAAGACCAATCAATGCTAAATACTGGATAGCATATTTAGTTATGTATAGAATTATTAACGATAAACCATCAAATAAAAAATAAAAATAATATTAAAATCTCTTTTGATCTTACTACAATGTAAAATTGATAAATATATTCATATTCAAAAGGGTAATTTGGATCATATCTTGATTTACAAGCTCTATAAACATCCATTGCCATATTTAATGTTGCTGCATACTCTGTCATTTTGAACGAGTTAAAAAATGTATACACCGTAAGAATGGATCACGTGAACATCGTCTCTAAAACAGGAAAACTCTTCTTTTTGTCTAATGTTTTATATAAGGAGACGTTAGCTATAATTTAAACAACAGTCCAATTCGCCGTTTCAGAATCTAATGCATTCTGGGTAATATTTTCAAAAGTGTACACAAAAGCATCTTGATTATTTTAAAACGTCCTAAACAATTGAAATTCAACCAATGACGTGACGGGTTATTCTCATTTTGGGGTACTAACAATAAAAATTACCCATAGTCCTTTAGATTCGGCCTATGGCACAATAACAATTAAAAATCATTTAAAGTTTATTAGATAGGTTCAGTCTAAGTTCAAAGCTTCTTTCTATTCTGATAGACGATCGCACATACAAATGATTTACTCAACAACATTATAGGAAAGCATTCCACATGTATAGAATAAGAGAGGCGACTCTTCTGTACGATTGACGGAACATAGGCCAACACTAATTTGTCTCCTCTTAAATTGGGATAACTTTCAGCAATAACCCAAGCTCTGTTCGGTATAATGTGTTTGAGAATTTTACGGAAAATGTCAAAGTCGCTGTCACATGATATTCTTTGCTGCTATCTGTTTTTACCACAATTCGCAATGAAAGCGGAAATGTATCTGTTCCATACAGCCTTATTTGGGAAACTGCCTGATTTCACAAGGACTTCGTCAAAGTTGATCAAATCATACTTCTCGGCTATTCTGATAGGTGGGGCATAATAAAGTTAAAAGTCCAAATGAAGATCGAAGTTGCAGATAATTGAGGACCCAAAAATTCAGAAAAGTTTTGCCCAATACAGCTAAGGTATCTGTTCCATTGGTAGAAAATCTTAATTTTTCAAACAATTCAATTACATGATATTCCAAAAAATGTACCTTGCACTTGTCAGTATAGCACATACAGGAAGCAAATCAAGTAATTTTGTGCACTTGTCAGATCGTGTTCGTATTAGGAAGTCCTTGAATAATTCTATAAATATATTGGTGAGAACGTTCTATCATTGTTATTGTAGTATTTGATAGTCTATACCAAAGGTTACAAGTAAATATTGCCTATGGATAACACAGTCATCTTCAATACTATCTTTGAGCACGTTAATGGATTCAGGAAAGATGGGTGCATAAGGACTTCCAATAAATTGCCAAAGAAGGTCATTAATGAAAACTAAATAAAAGCAGCAGAGATCATTAATGAAAATTAAATAAAAACAGCAGACAGTACTCCACATTGTTTAACGCCTCTTTTGAGTTCAAACCATTTTGAACAAATTCCTTGAAACTGTACACAGCTACGCATGTTCTGATACATTTCATGGATCAACAGCCACGTTTAACCTTGTATATAAACAACTTGAATAATAGTTCTTTGTGACACAACGTATCAAATCCTTTCATGCTGTCAAAAAGTGTGACAATAACATTACTATGTCGCTCCAAATTCTTGCATGTTGAAACTCACATGTGTACTAGATAATGTCTTCTGGTATGCAACTTATGTTAGATGTGGAAAGTTTTGGTGAAGCGATGGTAAACGATTAAATAAAACATCTTCTGTCCAATAAGGTTTAAATGTTTTTCATATTGTTTACCTATGAGTTGCAGTGTCATCTCATAAAATAGCATTCAGTATTTCGCTGTTGTATTTACAATATTAGCTAGAGTAGCAGTTGATGTTTGTATGTCCCATACAAATTGTGAAACTGCAAAGGAATAATCAGCTATAATTTTATTCTTTACAGCTTTAGTCCATGATATACGCCTTTGATCAGTATGGTCTCCATAATGACAACAGTTCCCATGGTCGAAAATAGTTCATAACTTTGTGTAATGGCTGGTAAGTAAACAGATATGAGATATATGTTTGATGTGTTCGGATATGTTCAATTCCCATTATTCTATTACTCGGAATGTCCAGAAATTCAACAAAATGCGGTAATTTTTTAAATACCAGAAAGGCGACGCCTCCTCTTATATCAAAATTGAATAATTGGTGACAATTATCATCAGTGCCATTTCCGTAACCTATATAATTCATCAAATCAAACATATATAAAACATCATTTGACAAAAGCGAAGAAAATTCCATTTGTTTTCAAAAAGTCAATACGATAAGGAACACCAGATGTTATACCAAGACAGTTCAAACAATCAAGGTTCAGTTCCTTAATTGAGTGACAATTTGTTCTCTCTTGTCGTTAATAAATGAAGCTCAAGCTTTCCAATATGTAGTAAAGATTCATTTCGGTCAAAACGTGAAGTCATGTACAATATCTTCATGAAGTACATCGATATTAAGTTGAGCCGAAGCTGTTTTAAGTGATCCCTTGTCAAAATATGTCAGAAATGTCACTTTGATTTCTCTCTGTTGTAGAAAATATCGCATTCCATGTTCCGGCGAAACGGTTTTGTCCATGCCCGTTTGATAATATTGGGCAGCTTTTTTACGTCCAAAATGAACGAGGCCAGAAAAGTTAAGGAATGAATTGCATACTCATCTGGGAAGTGCACTAAAATGTTCTGATTACATATATCTGAAGAGTTCCTGGTATGGCCTGTTGCTGATTCAACAGTGTCTGACGTGTTATGTATTTCAGCTGTAGCGACAGAGTTTTGAAAGATCATCTAATTGAGCAGATATTGGATTTGGAAGCAGTTTGCCTGATGTACCGATAATGTTCATCCCATGACTACAAACCTTATAGCTTTTATTCATGCGAGAGCGAGAGTTAAAATAGAAACTTGTTTCTCCATTAAATTCTTCGGTTGCTTGACAAATAACATACATGAAAGATCTTTTATTTGTCTTAAATGTATACTGAAAATAATTAAATTTGTTAGATATGAAATATTATTAACAATGAAATAACGGCAAAGGATAAAACTGAGTCAGTCTATAGCTTCTAGAGTACACACCGTGACTTTAAAGTAGAAAAACTAACATACCAGTATAAAATAGTACATGTATAGAATAGATAATAAGGTCATTGATCAATACACACCTGACTAAAGTATGGCTCACCAAAGGCGACTGTATTATTGGTGTTCAGAAATGTAATCACACTGTTTCATATTCTATTATATATATGGTATGTTTTTATTATATGGCGCATATATTTGTAATACATAGATACACTTGAAGAATAAAACAACATGATATTCTAGTACAAACTTTTCATTTAGATTAACGAATCCGAAACGGAAATATTCATAAATGGTATGTAGTTTATACATGTGATGCATCAGTGTCCTAATAATAGCAATCGATATAGTATATAACATATGGCGGAGAATGACAATAATCATATGATAAGTAAGGGATAGCAATTACTTATTTCTTATTTTTTCGGCATTAAAAAATAAAGTCCTAAATTGCTAAGTTCTTTCTCATAATGAACTGATGACAACTGTATGAGTTTAAAATTTGATGGTTCTTGCCAAGAACATTTTGATATATTTTTTCCGTTTCATTCTAAAATTAAATGGTATTAATCTTGAACAATATTCCTATTGCAAAATACTCTATAAACTATATTCTTAGAAATAAGAAGATGTGGTATGAGTGCCAATGAGACAACTCTCCATCCAAGTCACTATGTGAAAAAAGTGAACAATTATAGGTCAAAGTACGGCCTTCAACACGTAGCCTTGGCTCACACCAAACAGAAAGTCATAAAGGCCCCCAAAATGACTAGTGTAAAATAATTCAATCAAGAAAACCAAATTAGTTTTTAATTTATAACTATTATATATGCTCACAATAATATGAATAAAGATGATCTTTTATTATTTATTCCAAAATATAACAATTGCAATAACTACAAGGTACATAATCAGTTCAGTAGATCTACCTTCAGGTATATGTAAATAGAGACAATTTCACAATGTGAAGTATCATAAGTAATAAATAGTAAAATGATTAAATGAAATAAAAAAAAAGTTATGTGGACACGTTGATTATGTTTGCTTGTATCTTGTTTGATAAGACTACAAGATTTTTTTTATGAATCTAAAGATTTCCTTTACAGATTTTCAAAGTTTTCCTCGTAACTATGGTATATTTTAACTTCCCTCAGCAGTTGCCACATGAAAACGATGAATTTTAGTTAGTAGATAGATCCTAATATCGGTGTTTTATTGCAATAAAAAAAGAAACGCAATGCATCCCCAAGAGGAGCACCAACTATTTACACAAGTTGGACTTTGTATTATATTTCATTTAAGGGGGTAGGACTTGGCAACCCCAACATTTTCTCTTCGT